GTAGACTGGGTGGTCAACAACAACATACCTTTCCGGGGTATTGAAAATGGCGCTTTTCGCGATATCCTGATGCTTCTGAATCCCTCGCTGACCCGGGCGCTGCTGCCGGAGTCCCACCACACGGTCAAGGCATGGGTTCTGGCGCGGTATCACCACGAATTCGACGTGATCAAGACGATGCTGGCGGGTGCCATCACGAAGAGACACATTTCCTTCGATCTTTGGACCTCACCAAATAGTTACGGCTTGCTAGCCGTCATCGCCCATTTTCTTGACGCCAACAAGGCGTTGCAATGCCCTCTTCTTGGTATCTACCGAGTCAAAAGGTAGGCACAGTGGTGAGAACGTCGCCCTTGTTTTGCAGCGTTGTCTGCAGTCTTTCGATGTTGATGAAGCTGGCCTGGGATATTTCCAGTCAGACAACGCGGAATCTAACACCACCTGTGTTTTCCATACCTTTCGCGACGGCCGGACTGTTGCCGAAGCCAGTCATTTTCGGACCCGGCGCCGAATTCGATCTTTTGGTCACATCATCAATCTCGTTGCCAAGGCTTTCCTTGAAGCTGACAATTCTAACCTCCTGAAGACTCTTGAGCTGAGCTCGCAAGAAAGGCTCTCTGTTGAGGAAGAAGTCGCTCTCTTGAAGCGTTGGCGCAAGAGGGGTCCCGTCGGCAAGCTTCACAACGTCGTCCATTACGTTCGCCGCAGTCCTCAGCGCCGCGATACTTTTGTTGCCATTGTCCGGCGCCGACTTCCACAAGAAGAGACCTCGAAGACCTGGGCATCACGGTTTCCGGCGAAAATCTTCCTTTCGAACAACTTGTTGCTGACAACGATACCCGCTGGAATTCGGTCTACGCGATGATCGAACGTGCGCTTCGTCTGCGTGATGAAGTTGATGCTTTCTGTATGATGGCGCTGCGCGAGAAGGACAAAGACAGGCGGTTGGATCAGGAAGATCAATTAGGGCCGGAAGACTGGGAGATATTAACGGCCGTCAAGACCATACTTGAGCCGTTGCAGCGACTTACCAAAGCGTTCGGGGGTAGGAATCCCCGCTTTGCTGAGGTTATCCTGACTGTTTGTTGGCTTCTTGACGACCTCAGGGAAAGAAGGCTGCAATTCGACGAGCGCCTTGCCTTTATGCCTTTTGACAGCCCTAATATCCCAGCAGTGGATCGTGGAGATGGTGTTGCGGCAGGCTCTTCCATCACGGTAGGCGGGGCGCCGCTCCCGAATTTCACAATGGCAACGACATCCACAGCAATGACGGCAACGCCGGCAACGGCCACTCGCCTGGGGGCTAGTTCAGGCCGGCCGCAGCGGGCGAGAACCCTGCCCAGGCGCTTCGATGGCCACGAAGTTGACTTACCTGGACACACACCTGGGCAAGTGCTGCCGCCTGACATCACTCTCCTTGGCCCTGAGGAAGGACCTGTTGGCGCTGAAACATCCGAGTTTGAGCTTGGTGATGAAGGCATGCGGTATATCCAAAAGAGCCTTGACTTCGCTATCGTGAAGCTGGCGAAGTATATTGATTTGATGGAGGAGAACCCGGTCTACTGGGCGGCCCTTATACTGCATCCTGCTTACAGGTCAAGTGGTTGACTGAATACTTGGAACCGGACCGGGCAGCGCGTATTGAGACCGAATTTAGGGCGTTTTACCAACAAGAGTATGGATCTGTCGACGTCGAGCTGCCCAATCAACCTGCCCAGTCACCGGCTCAGTCGCAAGGCCAGTCCTCGGCTCAGTTAGCTGCCCAGCTGCTTGCCGAACAACGCCGACTTGCCCAAGCGGGCAGTCAACGGACTGCCTGGACCAACCGCTTGGTGCCGCATCGTCACACTTTCTACGCTCGCCGGCCGGACCCTGCAACCAGGGATGAGCTTCAGGCCTACCTATCTGAAGACCCTGAGGAAATTGACGATGCTGTGGAGTGGTGGTTGAGCCCTGGCAGAAGGAGCGACTTTCCACGCCTTTCCATCATGGCGTTGGACTTGTTGACGATACCGGCGATGTCTTCAGAGTGCGAGAGGGTATTCAGCAGGGCCAAGCACACAGTTGGCCATCAACGTCACCGCGTACATGATGATGCTATCAATATAGTGGAAAGCCTCAAGCAGTGGAGTCGACTGCGGTAGGGGGTTCTGGTTTGGCTCAGGGGGCTGGAGAGTAGGGTGCTTAGGTCTGGATAACTAATAACGTTAATTTTTGCTGTATTACATAAGGTCTTGGCGTTGAGTTGCAACTCGGCAACTCAACTCAACTTGTGAATGGCCTCAATCAACTCGGCTGGCCGGAGGCCCAACTCAACCCAATTTCAGGGCCGAGTTGAGTTGAGTTGAGTTGTTGCCCACCATGTCCTTCGGCTTTTCTGCGTGGGCCTGACACAGCGCCGGGAAGCTCCGCGCTGCCAAGGAGGGATTTGAGTGGCGGGGCGTATGTTGTTGGCAAGGGGTGTGAAAATATACCCTTCTCTGAGTGTTCTCCTGTGTCAAGGACTATCCGACGCTTGTACCTTGAGGTACCTGTCGGGCCCCTGTGGCGCCTGCCCGTGGACCAGCTCTGTTGCGCCGTCACTTGCCGTCACGCAGACCACCGACTGATCTCGGCTTGCCGCTGGGCTAGTTCTTACTTGGCGCTGAGAAACCTTGACGGCTGAGGTGCTGGCAGTCATGATGGCTGGACAGCCAACCATCACCCCCTCGGAGGACTTTACTCGTCCCGTACCGCACGTTGACCTGGGCTTCCCACCCCTTCCCGTGAGCCCGCGCCGACTCGTGCAGCCGGCGACCCTTGAACACACATCTTTCCTCCCCAGCTCGTTTTCCGGCTGTGATCTACAGACTCCACGGGCCGTGGTTGCCTTGTTTCTGTGTCCTGGCCCCTTCGGCTTGCCGAAAGGCGAAGTACTTATTCAAGCGGTGCAGTGGACTCGCCGGGGCATTGGTGCGATTTGCCTGGCCTGCTGCGACTGGGTATCGGAAACAGTCGCCGGCAGGGATCCGCGCTGGCTGCCCCTCTCTGGTTCAGCCGCCTTTGGCGAAATACCATGTCGCTTGCTCGCGGGAGCAGACTCTCTGTGGCTAGTCTGTATAATACGGTCCGCGCACCGCTTGGCGGTGTGGGCTGTGACGAGTGGCAGACCATGGAAGCCTCACGCATCAGTTTGGAGAGCCACTCGATCGGGTGCTGGGTGCCCGTGTTAACCGGTCGCGGGGTCGGCAGAGGAGCCGACTTATGTTGGGACTCGGCGAGGGTACAAGGGTCTGACGGGTCAGTGGGAATGGTCAGCGAAGGCTTCTTGACTTGGAGTGGCATATTGCGCCCGGCATAGCGGACAGGACCGTGCTGAGCGGACTTACATTCGAAGGCCACCTCCCATTGCTCGCGGTCGGCGACGTTCTGCCTTTTCTGCGGTGGCTCCTCGGAAGTGATCGAGACGGAGCAACGCCGCCGAGGAGCGGGGTCTTGATGTTCGGTGCCGGACGGCTGGGACCTCGGGGGTTGGGCGAGGCGTGGCTGATTCGGTTGCGGGGCAGCTGTGCGGAGAGATAGCGCCTGGGAGGCGACAGCGGAGGGTGCATCCGGCTGTGGCGCAGGCCCTGGTTCGGAGGCGGCTACACCGATGCCTGGGAACTGCGCTGCTGCTAGCGTAGCGTCGGCCGCCGCGGCAGGGCATGTCGTTATTGGCAGCGGCGGTGCATTTGCGGGGGGACCGCGGAAAGACTGGCTTGATCGATCAACGGACGCGGTGTGAGCTGCCGCCAGCGGCGCAACAGCATGTACCGAGGTTGCACCTGGCGGATTGCTTGCAGGATCGGTCGTGGTAAGCGCGGTTGGAGATGGGCCTAAGGTAGCGTTGTCAGCCGAGAAAAAGGGAAGGATGATCCGGGCGGCTCACCGTCAGTTGCCTGCTCCCAGGCGAACAGCAGACGCAACTTCGCGCCGCAGCGGCACGGAACGAGCAGCTGTTCTTCTTCGGACGGGGGAGCAGGATCGAATCGGGTCGGCTGGGCCATGACCGCGGTGTTGCGTACGCCAGGCCGAACAACCATCGGTGCCGAGCTGCTTGCTGGTTGGCGGACTTCTGAGATGCCCTCGAACGCGATGCCCGGCGGTCTCTGTTGTCGTACGACCTCGGCGAGCTTCGGATCATCTGGCCAATGCGACCATGTTGCTATTTTCCGGACCCCTTCCACAAGCTCCTTAACAGTCCCGATTGAATGCTTGAAGATGTCGTCTGCTGTACAGAGAACTGCCAGGATGCCGAGCGCTCTGTCATCCAAACGTTGCAAGCAGGCCAGTTTTTCCAACTCTTCTTTTTTCGCCTCCCTCCCTTGTTCGTTTTTACAAATTTGCTTCAGAAACCCGGAAGCGCTTGCGATATCCTGTTTCTGGATTGGCTTGTCATTGCCAGGTGCCTTTTTGCCTGCGAGCTTCCGAGCGGCAATAGAGTGGTTCACCCGAGTCAGCAGTTTGATGAATTCCTCCTTTTTCGTCTTGGGCGATTGGGCGAGAGCGCTGGCGAGAGCGCTGTCCCACAAACAGTCCAGAAGCGTGTCAACGGCGGTAAGAAACTGTTCCATGGCTGGTTCCACGGCACGAGAGAGAGTGATGAGCGATGAGAACGGGCAACCTGGTGGCGACGAGATGGGGCGGGAAGATTGGGCGGAGGCGACGAGACAGCAAGGGGCAAGTAACGAGGCGGCTGTGCGGGATAGGCGGCGAGTCGGGCCGAGACGTGTGATTCCGTGGACGGGGGGCACGTAACAGGCCGACGATGGGGGGGCTTCGATCAGTGAATTTGAGCCCGGTGAAGAGACCGGGTGACGAGAGGGGGACAAGAGGGATTCAACAGGTGGCTGTGTGTGAAGGCGGTTTACGAGACGGGGTTGGCAAGCCGATCGACGATCTGGTTGGTGGGAGGAACGAGCGGTTGCCGCATCGGTTTGATCGGCATTGCATAACTAGTGCCATCCGTAGAGCAGGCGCCTTCTGTGAGGTGGGGAGGGTGAAATCTGCTGGGGTATGACTTCAAGAGGGTATCTGTATCAAACTACGCTAATGCACCTGCAGATGCCACAAACTCGGATGACTGCGCGCAATCCAGGTCCCTACTCGTTCTCTTGACGGGGTCTGGAGCAGCCCGCTGGTGCTTACTCCCCGAAGGTGTATGCAAACGGGCGGGCCCACAGTCCGGCTACGTCGCCCAAAACCATGTAGTGTGCTCAGTGGTAGCCGTTTGGAACTCCATTAGCTTACATCCTCGCTCTCGGGTCCGCAGAGCCACAGGAGTCGAGATCGGCAAAGGAACTTATCGAGAGACCCGCATGACCAGCATCACCATGACCAGATATTTACAAAGCTACAGGCAGGCAAAGGAAGTACCGTCCTGCATACCAGCCCGTTCCTTACTGCAGCTTATTGCGTGCACTCTTCCACTCGGCGGACGCCACACACGGCTTGGGCGGGATCGTGCTGGGTGAAGGCTGGCTCACTGAACACTGGGGGTCGTCGATCCAGCAACCCTGCTACCCTCCTCCGGAGGTTGCTGGCTGATTAGGCTGCCAAGCGCTTTGTCGGGCATGGCACGCAAGATGGTGCTCTAAACTTAGTCACTGTGCATCTGGAATCACGCAGGACATCACACGATTGTAATTGGTTGACAGGGCAATCACCCGCAGTCCTTTTGCATTGGCAAGGCCCCCATGAGTGAAGCGACCAGCCAAGATTTTATCGCTTTGCCTCGAAAGCCCAGCTAGCGTCAGCTTCGTTCTGGGATCAACAATCATTATTGGCGGCTTGCACGAGGGGTGCTGCTCGTTATCATGTGACCACTGCCTTCATCCGCATTATCGTCGGACCTCGCATCGTCATCTTCAAGATCGGCTGCGTCGGAGGGGACGGAGACTGCATCCAAATCAGGAGCAAGAACATCGCCATCAGGGAATGGAATCAGCGTCGGGACGAGTGTCAGGTGGCACGGCAACCATATCGTCCGTGCAAGTGCAGCCTGATGCACATGCACATACAGTACATGGCTAAGTTAGCATCTACGCTTCGCTCTGTACCACTAGATTGCAGTGCCAAGCAGTAAGTCAGGAGGAAACGCACGACTCTCGCGTTCTGGTTTCATCCCTTCCAACGTTATGCCATGCAAGCATCAGGATCCGTTGATATGGGGGTGCGACCCTTGTACACGTTCCCTTGAAGTAGGGGCAACAACGCGATAGCTGAGCGTAAGGGGTGCAATCGGGTGACGATGAGTAATACCGTGTCAATGTGCCAGCAATTATTGGCACCGGGGAGAATGGGAAAATGTAATTGTGTAGGCGTTCCTTGGTAGACAGCCACCAAGACTCATTCCCGACACGCCCCGATCTGGTTAGGGCGGCATGCAAGCCTATACGTGTGATAATGTGCATGACAGATCCCTGGACCCCAACTTTGAAGGTTGGGGTCCAGGGATCATTGATTAACCCAAGCCTAGACCGAAGCAGGCGCCCTACACGCTTCTGTCGACACTCCTTGGTCTGCTCCTGTCGGCAAACGACAATACGTCTTCACTCGAATAACAGCGGAAATTCGTCATGGCCGACACCCTAAGCCTTGAAGAGCCTAAGTTGCTCAAAGGCTCTCAGATGTTCCCTTTGACATTTGAAAAGCACAATGTGTGCGTGAGCGTTACCGTTTCGGAGTTTTCGATGGACGGCAAGACGTGCCTCAAAAGCCATACGCGATGCGAACCTTGCTGCAATAACGTGTCAAACGTGGAAATCAACCAAAGAATCAATGATCTCCACATGAAGGCATTCGGGGCTGGAGGATGGATCTACACCAAGTGCGTATTCCAGGGTTCCACTTGGGTCGTTCACCACTGACGAAAATCAGCCGTGACTGTCTTCCTCCGACGGGCTCGTGCGAGGGACGATCCCAAGGTTTGGCTGATGTTTTAGGGGGGCAGGTTCAAACATGGAAGGCGCAGTTCAACAGTTGGAAGCAGAAATCCGAAGAACTGTACGGCAAGAGCAACAAGGCGTCGACAAGCGAAAAGAGGAAGTTGAAAGAAGACTTTACCGCTCTGAGGTCCGAACTGGAGGTATTGCAGCGAGTTACGGGTCAAGAGCGACCCGCCAAGCGCCCTAAGAAAAGACGTCGCAGGGTCCAGGGAGATCCAGAAGTCCAAGAGGAGCCAGAGAAGACGGACTCGCAGTCCGCTCTGGATAAACTCGAGAAAGATCTCCAGGATGCCAAGACACTTGAAAGGCTGGTGCGGCAAGTGCAGGAAGGTGTCGCCGCGCTAAAGAATCCGCCGGTCAGTCCGATCAGCAGCACAGAAGACCGCTTCGATGAATTTGTGGAGTATCGACAACGCCAACTGCGTCAACAGGACGACAATGGCGGGGGACTCGTGCGCGTGCTTCAGAAAGTGGCGAAGGCTGCGAGAAGTGGCGCCAGGGACGAAACCATGACCGGAGTCGTATGCAGCTTCATCTCTCACCTCGTTGAACACCTCCGTTGGCGACAAGACCCATCTTATTCAAAGACCGGTGAGTTTGACCGGGAAAAGAGGGCGAAGCGGACACACGAGGCAGCCGTTGTGATTTGCAAGATCGTGGACGGCCTGTGGGAGCATAAAAAAGCAGAAGCGTTGGTTGTGTTCAATGCACTCTTATGTGAGTGAGTCAAAAGGGTCATCAAGGAAAACATCGAAGCGCTAAACGTCGCAGTTGAGGGATACAATATAACTAGGCCTATTCGAGACATGAGCCGGGTCCGACGGGATGCATTTGTTTCTTCCGCCATCTCTCGACTGGCACGGCTTGATCTACGTGTTCCCGGTCAGACGCGACTTTTTCATCCGGCCGCGCTTGTTTATTGGGCTCTAGCGGGTATGAGACTTGAGTGAGTGTCGAGCTATGTATTGGTTATATCCATTTATTAACGTGACCGCCAGGTTTGCTACGGTCTGCGACCTTGTTGAGCTTAAGAAGTTTTCGGCGGTCGACCTATCGCCAAAAATCGATGGCCTTGCGGAGGGATGGCAAAGTTCCGACATTCCATTCGCCATGACAATACCCATTTCGGAATTCGAGGACATGTTCCAGGCCGAGATCGATCCGCGAGGACCGCCAACCGCAGCCACAACCGCAGCTCATTCAAAGGATGATGACAGCGCGAGTACCCCCGGAGATGGCGCGTCCCAAACGAACGACGAACAACAGCATCACAGCGCACAATCGCCGGGATTTTATCATCCGGGCTCGATGAGAGCCGCACTCTCGTCATACGACAGCATCACTGTTCCGGTGGATTCTGAGCCCAACGCCGGAAATGGCGAGGCGGATTCTCGCTGCCACGGGCGAGAGTCTGCTACCTCCATGTGTGACGCCCAGGGCTCCCAAACAGCTCATGTGGAATCGGCTGCAGTAGACGGCCTACGATGTTCGTCCCCATTCAACATCGGGACAAACTCGCCTCCTGCGACCGAAACAGCCTCACGCGGCTGGGAGGAGAGCAGAGCCACCATCTTCCAGTCTATCAACGCCAACGGCATGACAACATCAAAGGATCAAGAGGCGGACGAACTTTATCAGAGCACCTCGGGCGGGGTTCTGGCAGCTCGAGAGGCGTCGTCCCTCTACTTGCTGGCTGATGCGGCCGGGCGGGGACGCGAGGAGCGGCGTTATGCGGAGGTTGCTCCAATCTCTGGACCTGATCGCGGTGGACAGTCGACTTCAAGCCGACCAAACAAGGACCAAAAAATGGGTCAAGTGGCGACGGTTCACAGCAACTTGGGTGCGACTTTATCCCTAGCTATACCACCTTCCCGACTCGGCACCGAGACACAATTGCCATCAGCAAGCGGGAGCCAGCCCGGACAATTGCATAGTCCCGCAGGGTTCTCCGGATCTTCGCCGTCGGAGACTCAGTCGCCATCACCTTTAGAGCAGGTTCTGAGTGAACGAAGCCAGGAGAGAGTGTCCCATTGTGGGCTATGGCCTAACTCTCTGCCAGATGTTATTCCGTGTGGAAACTACATCAGTGATGAAGCATTGCTGATGAGTATCTGTAAGTAATATTATTCACGGTGGGAATAGCTGCTAACTTGTCAGTTCGGGAACGTATTTACTCCACGCGGACACTTCTTGAAGAAAACTCATACAGGATACCGCTCGTCATGGCGGACGGGTCAACTGAAGTCAAGGCCGCTGCCCTCTATCTGGCTTCAACTTATGCCCGTCATCTCCATAACTGGGAAGTTATGGAAGGGACATACGGGCGTCGCTTGGCCGGTGCTTTGCAAGATTCATTGAAGAACTTGGCCGCCTCGAACGACGTCTTAGTCACGACGGGCATGCTTCTTATCCATCACAAGGTCGTTAACGGAGACCGTGGGTGGGTAGGAATCGGCAAGATCCTTACCGCTCTGCAAAAGGGCGGGATACCATTTCACCACAATCCCTCTGCATTGTTCATTGCATACCAGATTGTCTTAGGAATCTTTGACCACAGAGAACATGTCCATGGGGGAATGGACATTAACTGGCTGCGCACTCGGGCACTTCCTGACCATGTCCTTGACTTGGGTTTATCGTCTCGCCTGCTGTATCTCATCGGGCGCATAACGGAAATGGCCACAAGCATCGACGCCGCCGTTCCGCAAGAAGCTGCGTCGTTGCTGGCCATGATTCAAAGGGCAGACCAACTCGTCTCCGGGGTCGAAGGTGAGGCGAAGCGAGTGGTGGAGACCATTGCCTTGTCATACCAACATGCTGGGATCATCATGCTGTACTGTCGACTTTTTGGGTAAGCGCCGTTTTCAGTATTTATGAAACAGCTGATGATTCATGTCGATACAGGTACACACGTAAACATCCAGTGATCAGTTCCAGGGCTCGTGATCTCGCAAGCATAATCATGCAACTTCCTTCGCATGGTAATAGGCTTTATCGAGCCATGGACCCGCTCTTCAGCATGGTAGTGTGCGCGATGGTTGCCGAGTTGACGGATACGGAAGAGATACTCGACCGTATGCGCCGCATCCACACTGGAGGTATCAATGTAAGTTGGCCTCCACCCAACGCTGCACGGTGTATTCTTCTAATTAGATTAGAACGTCTATAAAGCATCGAGTTTGCTCCGTTGGCTCCTGCAATGGCAAGACAGCCACATTACTTGGGATGTTCAACACGGATGGTTTGAGGAAATGAGGATGTCTCTGCCAGAGGAGCATCGTGATGTTAGTCTAGGTTAGGCATAACAACTGGGAGACAGAGACGAATTCGATCTAGTCCGCGTTCTGTTACAGAACACCGCATCGGAAGGAAATCCAACCCCTTCATTCCCAGCGCATTGTAGGGACCAGATCCGCATGTTTTTTGCTCTGCTCCTGCGTCAATGACGTCCATAGCTCTTCGCTCTTATTGTCCCCCGTCATTCCCAGACGAGCAGCAATCAGCCCAGGAAGCAGTGGACGGAATTTCCAGGAATGAAACGATCCACCACCGACGTAGTAGGCGTTGCTCGCCCGTTCTATCTGCCGAATACAGAAGGACTGGCTATCCGTGAGAGCATCACTATGGATATTAGAAATGCCTGGAAATCGTATACTGGCCACGTACCAGCACATCTTGGAGATGACGACTTGACATTTTGTCAAGTCTTCACAGTATGTCGCCAGTAGATCCCAGCTTTCCTTGAAGCAATGATGCGTCGAGGGGATATGGCTCGGAACTTCTGCGCTAGAGTCAAGGCTGAAGGATCGACTGACGTTGATTCGCATGATTCTCCCCACCGTCGGAGGGAGAATTTCGCCTAAGGAAGATTTAACCATAGAAATTGTGGAAATGATTTCGGACTCACCTTTCCCGGGGTGACAAAGGATAGGCATATCCTGGTATCTTGCGTACTGTTCGTGGGTGAGTTGGATGCCTAACACTGGTACGCCAACTACCCGGTAGTCGAGCAGTGGAAGGTCGTGGGACGCCAGGAATCTGTTGGCCCGCCATCCGGTCGCTAAGATAACCATCTTCCCGAGCACTTCCTCCTTACCCAGTCGGACTCCTCGGCAAGATGAGCCATCAAGGATAAGACTAGTTACCGTCCCCCTCCTCGTATTGACGCGACCCTCTGCCACTGTTGCTCGCATCATTGCTTGTAGAAGATTGTTCGCCTCCACCCACCCCACGTCCTTTGTCGTTGTGATGCGCAAGTCCTCGCCGACATTGGCGGCCGGGAATTTCCGTCGAAATTCCTCAATCGAGACAGGCATCGTTCCACCCGAAATGCTTCCACGCCGGGCTTGTTGTTCATCCTGCACTAGGAACCAGCCAGATTGATGGAAATACATCGAGTACCGGGGTTCCGTCTTGAATGCCTCGAGACACCCTTTCGCTAACATTCGATACGCTGGGTCGGAATACTCCGCACGGACAATTCTGGCAAGGTCGACCGACGCTGCAGTTGGACGTTCTACGTCGTCGTCATCGTAGACCCAAAGCACGGATCGGCCGGCGTTTTTGCATGCGTCTACTGACGCAGCGCCCCAGATTCCTGCGCCGACAACAATAACGTCGAACACCATTTTGTCGAGAGAAAAGTGAAAGAATGCTCGTCTTCCCTACGGGGTTTCTTCGTGAGGATTTTGCACGCTGCAAAAGCTTCAATGTTGTGGGAAGACGGTGAATATTTCAAGAGGGGTATGCAGTTTTCTTTACCCCGCACTGCATAACCCACTGCAAGTGCGCAAGAGCATTGCTGAGTTATGGTCACAACTGGTGACGGTTGGCGATGGCTTGGCTCAACTGCCAGCAAAAACAGACACGAACACACTCCCGTCCACTTCTGACTGAGAAGCTGCTTACTAAGCGCAATGGCAAACCAATCACGCTATCGAACTTCATAAAGATCGGTCTGCAATAGCAACAGCCATAAGAGGCGGGGCATAGGAAGTTGGCTTACAGGCCGAGAAAGGTCTGTTTGTGTTCGTGAAGGGCGATGGTTGATGGGCGTCCAGCCACATGAAGGCCCGCACCTCAGCCGTCCAGCTCTCTGAGAGGTAAGTGAGGGCTCGCCCAGTGACAAGCCGAGACCAGCGGGGGCCTGATAGCGAATGACAGCGCAAGAAAGCTGCAGTTGGTCTACAGGTAGGTGCAGCAGGTTGGATAGGTACCTTAAGGTACAAGGGTCGGATAATGCTGGATAGATACCTAAGGTACCTACCGGAGCACCCAGATAACGTTATTTTCACACCCTGACCAACAAAATGCGCTTTGCCACTCCCTCCCTAGAAGCGCGGAGCTTCCCCGGTTACTGTTGCAAGATCGGTATTGTGTCTACCCCATGCAGGAAAACCGAGAGACTCCATGGGTGCTGCTCGAGTCCTTGCCTTGGCCGTGCCCTTGTTCGCAAACGCTGGTGGAACCATGGCTCTGCCTGTTTGCCCCAGCCACACGCGGAAATGCACAGGAGATGGCCAGACAGATGTTAAGAGTACTCTGGCGCATGCTGAGCGCATGCTACTTCTCCATCGCTTTCTGAAGATGGGAGTCGAAACCGTCTATATCCAAGAAAAGCATCATTACAAGGTCAAGTCAAAGAACAATGGCGAATATACCTTCTTAGCTCTCGAACCAGGGTTTGTTCGCTATCCGAGCTATATGGTGTGTGTTATTTGATCCTCTCCCGGCAGTCCCACTAGCTTGCTAACGCTTAAAGGCTCGTGTAAATCAACGAAGCGAAAGGGTATGGGTCGGCAGATCTCTGCCAAATGGTGTTGAACTTCAGTCAGAGAACATTTCGGAGTCGGACCAAGATGGGCTTTTGGTTGAAAGCATACTAAAGGTACAAAACAAGACTGTAGTGCTAGCTGAGACGAAGGACGTGTGACCGAAAAAATCGACTGCTCAGACGCCGACAGGGTCATCCCCTAGGAGCGGAACACGTCAGCCGGGCCCATCCCCGCCGTTTCATTCTGTGACATGACAGCCACCATTTCGTTCTGCGACATGACAGCTCTCAATAGTGCTTTCGGCGAAGCCGCACCTTGCTACGGCTCAAAGATTGAAGTATAAGTTGAATAGCTGTCTCTCCGTTCCTCCCTAATCATTCATTGCCTCACTGCAACATAAACACCCCCCATCAATCCAGGATTCGTTGGAGCAAGACAATGTGTGACTTTAGTCAGGTAAGTAGCGTGATCCAATATATCCCCATCTAAACGCTAAGTCTAGTAGCGGGAATTCTCATGTGGCCACTTCCTCTGGCTTGCTTCGGAGTTGTGCCCAATTTATAAACAAACTCGAAGGAAATGGGGATGTCAACCCAATGTCACGAAGTTTGAGACAAGGGACCAGCTCAGCGGAGAATGCAAGTGGGTGCTGAAGAGAGGTATGCTCATACGGACCGGCTGATGGGCGGAGTTATTCTGATAATATACTAAACAGGGATCAGTATGGAGACTGAACCTTGGGAACTCTATACGAAACTGTAGCCAACGGCGAGACATCTGCGATCTTCACTCGCGCTTCAGGTTCCTTGGTCTCAAGTCCATGTACCTCAAATAAACACACTTTAGGTACTCAGGAGCGTCGAGGAGGGCCAGTCGCCGAGGCTTGCAGAGAAGCAAGCCAGGAGCCAAGAACTAGTGACACACCTCGGAGAGTGAGACATGCCGTACGTCGCATGCAACAGAGAGATGATCTTCCCAAAGTTCCAGTTGCCCAACCGTTCATCGTCAAGTTCATCCCCTGCCTCCATCGGCACGGTACGTCCCGTCAAGAATTCAGCGCAGTATCCCCGCCGGGGGCCCTTCAGAAGTGAACGGTTCAGTGGGCCAACTGATGGTGAGGGCAGTGGAGGGTATTGGGATCCGATCCTTGTTACGTCCCTGGTACGTGGAGAAGGTTGCTGCTGTTAAGCTCCATGCAGGTTATCCGTGTTTCTACTAACGTGACAACTTTGCTTGCAGGCTGCAATAGAGCTTCATCGGGTCGCCGTTCCATGAATTATCTGACTGAATGCGTTTGAGTAAGGACGAATTCGACCTTTGAACTTCACCTCTTGATGCAGAATAATCTTATAACCCGTCTATACTCTACAATGCTAGGTCCAAAGCAAGTTCTTCGTGCTGACCTTGTCGGACTGTTGCCACGTGACTGCCCAGCGAGTCTTTCCGACCATCCATATCACTCCTCAGATTGATCCGTTCCGCGAAACGGAAGAGTGTCACGAAAACAGTTTCTTAATACCAGGGTCCTCCTAAGCTACCCTCAACCTCTGACGAAGCCGTTTCCGTCTGAACGCATGAATGAATTCTTCAGGTATTCCGCTCTTCGGCTCCCAAGAGCGGCTTGCCGCCCCATAGCCCACCCACTCAACGAAATATTCAGAGCGGTCTGGACGCTCGTCGAGGACTTTGTGGATGAGGAACCGGGTGTTATCAGTTATATCGCGGCCAGCTTCCCTGATTGCCTTCTCGCGCCCTCCTCGACGTTTCCAGAATCTCAGCAGCCGATGTTTGAACTTTCGGTGAGCATTTTCCTCCGTCATCCAGTAGACTCCTGCTCCGACCTCAATATCAATCAGATGCACATCGCCAGAGCTGTCTTCCCGGAACCGCCAGTTTGTAAGGCGTCCTATCGCTCGCTTGCCTGCACTGCTGTTGGTCTTGAGAGCCGGCTGGCGCCGGGGGAGATGGTAGCTGCGCACACACATTCTCTCACGTATATCCGAAGACTTAAGAGGCCGCAGCTGTGTGAGAAGGCGCTTTTCAGTTTCCGTGTCCAAATTGTGCTTCCGAAATGACGTAGCCACGGCAGTGGATAGCCACTTAACAAACGGCGCATCCTCGGGCCAGGTAACCAGGACATTGCGATACAGGTCGTAGCAATACGATCGTAGCGCGGTTGTTGCTTGGTCACAGCCATCAAATCCGCATTCGGAGATTATGTCCAGGACGAAGTTTGAGGGTATCCGGGCTAGTGTTCTAGACTCGCAACTGGCGGCTATGTGGTCGAGGAGGCCGACAAGTCCTTCGAGCAGGTACTCTGGCGGAGAGGTCCAAAGACGTGGCGACCTACGCCCCTGCTCGTCGGCGCGATTTTGAGCACGTTCGACAAGGCTCTCGTAGATATCGCTCAGTCGGGGGCTATACCACAGAGTCAGAGTTAGCGAAAACCCGAGCCTCAGTGGAAAATGGAGAATATCAGGGAGTATAGAAACAAACACTGTCGTCCGCAGAGGTTTCATATCTGTTTCACTGTCGAAGACGCGGTGACCTTGGTAAAATCGAAGGTATCTAATTATTTAACGGGACAACTTAGGTTCGAGGATGGTGAAGGGGGGAACGGAAGGTATTAAGAGCATGCTTAGCACAGCCCAAAGGGATAAGGTACATGTTGCGTAAGGCTCCAAATGGTTGGTGCTGCGGGACCCGGGCGTTCCCAACACGCCTTCTGCCCCTGATTTTGCCAAGACCGCGTGCGACCGCGTGTTCAAACCCACGTTCATCTCTTTCCGCCGGCGCCCTAAGTCCGCACTCATCGTCTCGCACAGCCCTCTCAACTCTCCAGCTCAAGTTTGGACGCTCATCTAAAAGGGGTGTATGGGAGAAAGTGGTTGGAGGCTTCGGTGCTGGCACGGCCACGGCTGGGCCTGCAGATCGCTTACTTCAGGCTACCTGCTGCGATTCAGCCAGCCGGACGGGACTCGATGCCTTGTGACGACGTATGACGGCAATCCTTATCTTCGCCGCATTGACGGCGAGGCAGAAATAGACGAGGCCGTGGCGCTCGAATGGCCGGGCTTGTCTTGCTATTGGTAGTTCTGGCTACAGCATGGCGGAGGCGAGGCGGCCAGTTCATGCAGGAGGCTTTATGAGAGTGGCAGGGCCGACCTGGCCAACTTTTGGCGACCTCGCGAGTGCTCGTGCTCCTTGGCCGACTTCTTCCCATTTCGGCACGGTAAAGGTACGTGGACACTGGAGGCTCGGAGGAGGCAGCTTGCCACTTCTGTGGCCAAGTCCTACAGTCCACGTACAGATACACGAGTATATTTCGCTCCCTTTTGTATTTTTGATAGCACAGTCACGTCTAGTAGCCATTAGAGGCAGATATTATTTCGTGGGGAGAGGCGAGCCAAACTGCTCACGGCTTAATAAATGTTCTTCCTTTCAGGGGTAATAAACAAATGCATTTGGTTGGCCTGGAAACTACGGAGTACAAGTGGATCTGGTTACTGTGAGCTTATCCGAAGAGATACTCACATCGCCCGAACCCGAACTATTCTACGTATACCCCGAGGGTGCTGGTATGCTCTGACGCGAGCCAGGATACTGGTAACAGGGAGGACATTGGGGCGTCCTTCGCAGAGATGGCCGGGCCGCCATGGAGAGGTTTTGTTCGACAAAGGGGACCGGGCATCCAATCGTTCTCTGAGAACTTCGTCGAAAAGGCCCTGTAAATGAAGCGAAGCGCTCCTTCCTCACTAACACTATGTAAACAGTGTCAGTTCGTCATTGAAGCTTCGCTTCAACATTGTATGTTTCGTTCCCCTTCTGAATGAACTAGCTGACGCGGATAGCAGTGCGCTTTTGACGATTACGTGCAGCTTTCTTCTGCCGATTTCTGATCGGTAGGAGAACCAGCACCCCATCCATGTTCCATGCCCGCTTTTCTCGCCCGCTTTCCTCGCCCGCTTTCCTCGCCAGCTTTCCTCGCCCGCTTTCCTCGCCCGCTTTCCTCGCTTGCTTCTTCATCCATCTCTTCTGCTCCAGAAGTTCCCGGGTAAGCGACCCGGTCTCAGCCCAACCCGTTAGTTTATCTGAGGCTCAAGCCACGCGGTCATCTCGCTTGGCGGCGCTTGGGTGCTGGTGCCAGAGAATGTTGCTTCTTGAGAAGGTACAAACCTGGAATCATCCCGCATTGCTACGCCATTGCTACGAGAGTAGGGCGATCTATGCACCCCCTTGCCAGGCTATAGGACGGGTCGCTCCAAGTCAGAAGCTTGGGGGTCAGGGTGCAAGGGTGGCTGGTCTGCCGCCTGGCGCTTTGCACTTGCACGATCAGCGTTTGCACAGTTCTATTAAGGCAAGGGGAAATTGTTTGGGGCTAGATTATGGACCGCTGAAGCAGGAATTGTGGGTGGACGATCGGACGTCGAGATGTACTATAATGGGAATGAGGCGTCTGGGCGCTAGCGTAGTTTACATTCACACCTCGTGCCTGCGGTGCTTCTTTTCCCGCGGCCATTTCCGACAGAATGGCATGGCGAGGTCCATTACCCCCCTTGTCGCCTCTGCAGCTGCGCCAGAACGCCTCAGGCTGGGGATCCGCTACGCTCTGGTCTGCAGACACTTACTCAAGAACAAAAGCAGCTTTCCCGGTCGGGGACCAAGCCGGTCAAAGGGTTCGGAGGGTCACTTTCCTCGTGACACCCAAGCCCGCTTGTTACAACACGTCTATTGTGCATCTCATCATTGCAGACCTCGATGGATGACGCCGCGCCCGAGAGAAGAGAGAAGCGAGCCTCGCCCTGAGCGAAGCCCGCATGCAAACCCGCGGAGCCGTACCACCATCACAGTAAGGTTCATAGAAGAGGAAGGAGCGGATGGAGACTTGTAGTCTCCATGCCTATGATAATGAACTCTCCGGAGCTCACGGCTGGAGTGGTGGTTGGGATGCTGTTGGCGGACATCTCGCCTAGTGACTCGGCGACGATCAGTTGAGAATAGCGCTAAGGCTGTAACGGGGAACGAGGCAGGAAGGAATCTGTAGGAGAAACTGTCGATGTGCGCCATGGAAGGGGAACCTTCAATATAAGCGCTATGGACGGAGGGACTTGGGCCCAAGCTGGCAGAGAGCTGAACACGCTGGATCGTCAAGCACGAGTATGCCGCGTGCCAACTGTGGCCGCCTCCGCCGGGTTAGCCGCCGATAATAGCCAACGTACTTGCCAGCCCCTGCATGAACGAGCTCAGACTCTGCAGTACGCGGTGTTGTTTCTGGCAACCCAACTCGACATCCTTGCTTCCCAGGGAAGTACCAGGCTGCCTAACACGCGCGGTCGTCCCAGCCCCGGTGATACGTCGGGTGGCTCCCAAGTGGTCCGCCTTGTTCCGGCGTGCTGCGTCGCATTGCCTCATACGCGCCGTCAAGCACTGGACCGCTCAAACTAATGTCTCATCGTGGGAACCCCAAGGGAGTAGTCCGTCCAACCAGCTAGGCATCCCGCTGCAATGCTGACTTGGTATGCCCTTCTCCCTTCAATAACCACCTCCCCTCATGACTGTGACGCAGTATCACCATGCCCTGAGGAAAGGAAGGATTTGGGGTTCATGCAAAGAGCTCGGCTAGGCATCACTTTGTCTATGCACAGCATCCTCAGGCGATACTGTTGTCAGCAGAGTATTTGAGATTGTACATACCACAGGTGATGCTTGCGTTGACTGCATCTCACGTTCTTAATGGTCTTTGAAAAGAGACGATGAGGGGAAGTGGCAAGCTCATGCAGATCGGGGGGCAAGAGGAAGATGATGCGTTCTTCATCGTAGCGGCTCAGCAACGCCATGAATTACGCCCCATGAAATCAGGGATTCCGGCCTTTTTGGGCGTTTTTGGGGTACGAGACGTGAAAGAAGGGGCAAGCTCATGCAGAAGGGGGCGGAGGAGAGGGAGATGATCTGTCTCCGTGACAGCGACCCCGCCACCCCGAGCAATTTCAGCGGCGCCCTGGATCGAGTCAGTTTCGCGGTCTCTTGCAATACCATGTCTGCTAGGAAGCCTCGTCATTCCGGGCATCGCTTTCGCCGTCTCGGCAACGGCAAAAGAGGGAATGGTTTGAGGGACCGGTGACTCGATGCTCCTAGTCTCCTATCTGCCTCGGCCGGGAACTTTCCTAGCATTTCACCAAAGGCTTAGCAGCCATCCATGGAGGCTAATCTGCTTCAGAGATGGGGTTAGGCAGATCCATGGATTGACGCTTGTAGTATTTAAGACCTCGCTTCAGTAGCCAGAAGATTGCAGAAGATTTAGAAGTGCAGTACTTTGCCCTACAAGTCTGACTTACGCTTTCCACCCGCCCGCCCGCAGTGCCGGATCATCAACATCATGGCTGAACCAACTGAGCACCGAATCCGCCGAAGGAAGATGTTGGAAGTCGTCAAACACGGTGCCAGCATCTTCTTCTGCCCGTGTATTTGCATGCTGGGTTGCCTTGGGTTTGGCGGTTGGGAGTAAGTAGAAGGCGCATCCTCAAACGATAGAGCCACATACTTATGAATCGATCTACATAGATACTAGCCCATGCGGCGCGGTTCCGATGTTCGCCTGGTGTGGTTGGAGGTCTGGTGCCCGTCTTTGCTTTGTTGCGCTCTGCGCTCCCGCTTTTGCCTCAGATCCTAGTGCAAAGTCGGTTTCCGCTGGAATCCGTATGAATACAACAGAATTTCCTCCTTGCTTTAATAGCTCTACTGATTCGTAGATTTGCCGTACGATGCTTTGGCCAGATTGTTGCTGCGGATGTTATTATTAATCTTACACCGCAAAGGCTTATGCCTCGCTCAGCTAGAGCAAGCGGTCCCTCCTCGTTGTTTTACATGCAATGCATCCTCTCACGTGCTGCGTCTTCACAGCGCAAGCGCTGTGTAGGCGTTCCCTGTATACCCTCATATCCAACAGTCCGGAACTCATCCTTCCGGCTTGGTGACGACGGTGCTGTGGGTGGCCATCCCGGCCCTGTGCGTCACTCTAGCGCGCAGCGTGGGCTGCGCGCCGATGGCTTTGGCTCAGCGCTTGAGCCCTATGCGTCTCCCCCTCCTCCTCCTCCTGTTGGCCTTTCCTAGGTCCTCCGTCTCCCTGTCTGGCCCTGGATTCCCCTCCTCCTTGCTGCGGATATTGGATGGCAGCGAGTGCTGACAAGCTCCCAGTATTGATCGTGACAGGCTTGTGGAGGGTGCCAGGCGGCCGTTCTTCAGCGCCATCGCTATAGCTGCCACCTCTGCCGTGTACGGGTTCCGTTCCTCCCTTTATGTGCAGTCTCTCATTACACCCATCAGCAGCGAACACGGCCTCCGGTACTACGAGCGCGACACCGTGGAGAATTGCGGTGCAAAAGCTGGTTGATGCGGTATACGAGAACCCGGTGCTTCGAGCCAGCATTGGCCTGCGTGGAACCGTGACGTTTGAGAGTCACACAAATCTCGGCACCGTCGATGGCAGTCTCTCCGTACCTCTGGAACCCGCGCCCATCTCCGGGAGTAGTGCAGGGGAAGCTGCGCTCGCACCGCCTGCAGCGGTCCGCAAACGCCGCCGTGTTGCGAAAGGAAAGGGCAAGGGCAATCGGGCGGACCAGTTCTGCATATACAGATCATTCCTGAGGTCTTCCAAGCGGGCATTTGTTGTGGAGATGATCCAACGGAACGTGCTCCCACGTCAATTCGGATCCGAGTCCAGCCGACAGAAAAGGGAAGCCTTCGTATTCGCTGGATGCGTTTGTAGGCAAACGGGTGGATTCAGGTCCGCAGTGACTCGGCTGCTGCCTGGTGCTTGCCGTTGCTAGAGGGTAAAGGAACCAAGCGATGTCTGGACCGAAAATTCGTGGTTCGCACCTATACCAAGGGACAGTGCCCAGCTAGCTCTTCATCGAGAATAGAAAACTGGTCGCTGTCCCCAATGAAGTTGGTTTGCCCAAGGTCGCTGTGAGGTAGTCATCAATATCATGGCTGTTCTGCCTCGGCGTTGCTGCATCAGCGGTAGCCGTCGTTCCATCGGCCTGTCCGTTTGTTACAGCGTGCTGCTTAACCTATTAGCATTGTGAAATGGCCGGGCTGCTACCATGACAAACGGACATGAGACACACCGGTGCTGCAGACGCGACGGGAGGCAGTCTGGGCTTTGGGCAAGGGGTGAAGAAGGGAAAGGGTGATTTGATACACAATTCTAGACATTGACAGAAATCAAGCTATTCGAACCTGAGTACATCACATACATCCTGAATCACAGAACATCCAAGCCCGTTTCCAACTTGACCTCAATCTCCCCTTCCCCTTCCTGCTCTTCCTCCTCCTTTTCCTCCTTCACTTCCCACACCTCCTCTTCCTTCACTTCCCACACCTCCTCTTTCTTCTCTTCCTGTGCTTCCTCTTCTTTCTCCCCCTTTACTTTCTCGTTCTTCTCTCCCTTTACCTCCTCCCCCTCCTCCCCTTTCCCTTCCTCAAAATCCCCCATCCCCAAAACACCCCCCATCAACACCCTCCCCATATGCGTCCTCTCCACCCCAGCGCAATCCCTCCTCACCCCAACCAACCCCCTCAAAAACCCCACCGGACTCGTCCCAAACCCACACTCCGGATACATCACCCCCTTCCCAACAAACCCGTCCTGTCCCACCTTCTCCTCCCCGCTGTTCTTGGTGTACGACAGACCCAGGTACCGACACATCCGCACGTACTCGGCGTAGTTGCGCAAGTAGAGCTGGCCCGCGAAGAGGTTGAGCTGCGTGATGAGGGAGTCTGGGGGGGGGCGCCAGGTGGAGGCGCATACGGGGACTGTGTAGGTGTTGAGGTGTTCCATCGTGCGGTGCGAGAGGGTCAGGCGGGGGTGGTAGGCGTGGAGGGAGACGGGGGAGGTGGAGGACGCGAGAGTGGGCTTGAGAAGGGCGGCTTCGTGCGGGCTGATGATAACCATCGTCCGGGAGTGGTCGGGGTCGGTGGAGGGGCGGGTCAGGAGGAGCCATTGGACTGGGCGCTGGTGGGCGTCGGAGAGGTAGGGGTCGGTGTCGTCTCTCTTCTGGCTGAACTCGACAGTGAGGGTAAAGTCGCGCGTGGCGAGGAGGTCGGTGGGGAAGGCGGAGAGGTCGTCCGCGAAGAGGGCGGCCGCGCTGGTGGTTGAGAGAGTGGTGAAGGCCGGGACGAAGGCGGAGCTGCCGGCGCTGATGGTGCCGGTGCGCGCGAGGTGGACGACGTCCGCGTGGAGGTTGTGTGCGCGGGCTTTGCGCGGCGGGGGCCGGCAGACTTGGCGCTCTTGTTCAATCTCTGGGGCGAGCTCACGCTCCTGCTCTTCTTGGAGGGTTGGGGAAGTGGAGGAAGAGGTGCGGGTGGACTGCCTGAAGGCGAGCAGCTTGGTCTTGATCGCGGCGAGCTCGGTGTTCTCTGGGCTGGGCTCGGCGTCCAACTTGAGGCTTGCCATCAGGGTGGTGATGGTGTCGTGAGTTGTGGCTGGCCCCGGGCTGTAGCGCTGCTCCAGGGACATGGCGTCGGGCTCGAGGTACTCCTTGACGCTGGAGCGAGTGAACCCCCCTGTTGTGTCTGTCTCCTTCCAGATAGCCTCTTGGCGGAGGTGGCGGATCCCCTGAGTCGCCCACAGGGGCACGCTCCGCACTGTTTCGTCCCACGCCTCCGAGATGGCCCAGGCGAGAACGTCTGAGACAGCGAGCGGCCGACCATCCGTGATGTTGCGCAGGCCTCGAATGCGCTTCTGCATCTCGGGGGACACAATGAAGCTGACCGACTGCCCCTGGCCGAGCTTGCGCATCCGCATACACGCTTGCACGAGCGTGTCTTTGGTAACCCCCGGGCCAAGCGTTACGGCGGCGCGGTAGTTGTCAGGCAGTTTCAGGTCGGTGCCGCGGGTGTGCGCTTGGTCGAGGAACACGAGGCAGCGATCCGTGTGGGCGGCGAACGGCGATGTGAGAAACGAGTCAACCACGCCGTTGCGGGTGAGGACCGAGAGCTCGTCGTTGTCGTTGAAGAAGATGGCCGCGTCAGTGCTGCTCGTGGGAGCGTTGCCGAGCAGGCTCTTGGCCATCTGGAAGTTGCTGCTCTCGATGATCTGGGCCCCAACATCGAGGACAACACGGATCTCCGGGTCTGAACTGGCCAACGCACCGAGAAGCATTTTTTCCGTCAAGGCTGTGAGCTGCGACGCTCCTTTGTCACCCAGCTCCAGGACCATGTTCTCCTCACGCAGCAGGGTGCTGAGGACCGAGGCGTTGGTGTGCGGCTGGAGATCGAGAGCCTGGATCGACAGCGGAAGAACGCCTTTGGAGTCGTTCGTGCCGCTGAACCCCGTCAGGGGCTGCTCTTTGCACCGTGCCAAGTCCCAGCCCGATGCCGAGAGCTTGGAGGGAAACTGCTTCAGTTCTTTGGGAAACACAACCCTCCGGAGGTAGAAGTCGACGACTGGCCGGGAATATTTCAGCCCAGGAAAGACCTCGCCCTCACACTGGGGCCGATCTCTGAGGTTGATTGCGGAAAAGTGGCGAAACGACGGAGGCAGGGTTGGGGACTTGGCTGCCCATTCTGAATACTCCTCCTCGCTCCGGTCCGACTTGGCTAGCAGCTCCAGGCACGTGTAGAGTTCGGCGTTAGACAGACCGCCGTAGTAGTAGCTCAGGCACGTCAGCACAATGACGACATCGGGGTGGCTGAACTCAGATCGTGCAGAGGGCATGTCCTTGGCGCGGTACGGCACGGCCAGCATGGTCGGCGGCCGACGGTCCGGGGCGAGGCCGTAGTTGACCCTGTGCCGCTTGTGCCCCAGGGCGAACAGGAGGACGCCCTTGGCGAGGAGGCCGCGGAGAAGAGAAAGGGCCGCTTTGGTGGTTGAGTTGCTGAAGAAGCGCGTATCGGTGTTCTCAACCATCTCGATGTCGGTCTCTGATGGGCGTTCGAGCAGGATGTAGTTCAGAACTGCTTGCCGCATGTCCTCAGTCTGGTGGTGGGCTGGCAGACCCGTGATGCCGATGCTACACACCTCATTCGCAAGGGCCGTGATGAGTTGCTGGCCCCCAGACTCCTCCAACACGCGGATCTTGGGAACTCGTCCTGGAACGGCGTCGTCTTCGAGAAGCAGGCCCTGAGACACGCTTGATCCCAGCGCGCTCGGTGCCATCAACCTGCGAGCCACATTCTCTGTCATGAGGAGAAGGTCCTGAATCAGAATCCACCTGTCGGGGCTCATCTCAACCGCCTCCTGCGACCCCATGGTGTAGATCAACTCGAACTTGATGCTGAAGTTCTCGTCGCTCTCATCGACAATGTCGCGGGAGACGGACTCGAAGTCCTTGTACAGCCGCGTGATTTGCCTTCCCAACGAATTTTCCCCCTCCCCTTCCGTCCCGCTCTTGTCAATCCCCATGAGCTTGAATGAAAGCAGATGTTCCGGCTGAACAAGCAGCACCCCGCCCTCCGTCCTACACTTCTTAATTATTCCCCTAAGAGTCTCAACATCGTCCATCGACGGCTGCACCGATCTCGAAATCGGCAGATAAAATACCCTCCGATTCACCAAACCCCCCAATCTTCCCACAAGCATGTGCGTCATCTGACTCGCCTGTGGCTTGGCCACCACGACGCGGACCACGCTGTCCCCATCCGCCAACGCGGCCGCGACGAGCGGAACAATGACCGACGACTTGCCCTCGCCCATGTTGAGCTGCATGACCGCGTTCTTTCCGTTCGGCGGGGAGCGCATCTCGGCCGCGATGGCGTTCTGCACCGGACGGATCAGGATATCCTGCTCAATCTCCAATAACAGGCCTTCGGGGTAGATGAGCGGGTCCCACGAGGGGTTGGCGTGGTCGCCCGGGTTGGACAGCTCGCGTTGCAGGTCGCTCCAGCGGGCGGGGAGGTCGCGGGCGTGGCTGGCCAGGCGGGAGGCCCGTTGGAGGTGGATGATGGCGAGGGCGAGGTTGACGAGGGATTGACGCCAGAGCGGTGGCAGGCTGGGCCAGAAGGTGCGGGTGAGGCGCTGGAGGAAGAAGACGGGGGAGAGCCGGGGGTAGAGGCTGGCGGTTTTGCTGAGCTGGTGGGCGAGGGAGGTGCCTGTTGCGGCGAGGTTGACGCGGGTGTTGATGGCGTTGTGCTCTGTTCGCGCTGCTTGGAGGTGCTGCTCGAGAGTTGGGCGGATGGTCGGGTCGTCTGGCTGGACAACCATGCGGCGTCGAGGGGGGCCCGGGCTGGCCATGCTGTGGCGAAGCTCCTTGATGTAGCTTCTCTGGTGGTCCTGGAGATTGCCAGCGATCTGAAGCTCGCCCACGAGGGCGGCCAGGTGAGCGTGCGACTGCTCTACCGCCTGAGATTCAGTACACAACTCGGGAAGGAGTTCAAGATGTGGGCTCTCCGAAAACGGTGCTTGTTGCACGAACAGCGACATGGCGGAGATGAAACCGAGTGTTGAACGTGGTCGGACCGTGCTGAGAGTTGGCAGCACGAGCAGGTTGCTGTGCTCGGTGACCGCTGCCTGTCTGAGATGATTCATCACCGAATCCAGATACCGATCGAAGGCCTCGGTCCTTCGTGCCATTTCAACTTTCTCTCGTGCCCGGAGCATGATCGTGTCGACATTGAGATGGGTGTTGTAGGCGTGGTCGGTTGGAACGCTGATCGTCCACGAGTACTGAATCTGGCGCATCAGCGCAGAGACGAACTTCTCCTTCATCTCGGTCCGCTTAGATGACCATCCTCGATCTCGCCTGCTTTGGAAATTCCTAGGCGACTCCCGTAAGCCCCTTTCCCACTGCCATTCTGGGCACTCTTGTTGCTGTTTCGAGCCATTGCGGACGATGTTGTGCAGGTCGCCTGACAAGGTCGATCTACTGATGCACAAATTGAATTGCTCGTCTGATGGTGGCAACATGTCTGCTCGAGAGAGGGCCGACATCGTGGCAATCGCCATCAAAGCCTGAACAATCTCCCGATCCGACTGCTCCGCGTAAAGGAGGCTGGACAGAAAGAAGATCTTCCTGAACTTGTTATTCTCCCCAACCAGCGCCCTGTGCAGTCCACACCAGCGCTCGTTGATGGTCGACGACAGGGGCTCAAAGTTGGTCAGGTTGAATGCCAGGCTGACCGACTCAACCCCTCGGAACTCGTTACCGTTGGCGCTGGAAATGGTGTGCCCCTGAATGGAAGGACTGAAAAGAAGCCGCTCTGTGCCCCCGTCGACGCACCTCGCCAGGTAGGCAACCCACTCCCTGGCCTGAGCGGAACCGTTGTTTGCCCTCTCCTGATTGGGGTGGTACCACTCATCTTTGGCCGTCGTGTGCCCCTCGGCGCCGAACTCTGCCACGCAAAACGCGGCGTTGCGGATCCTCGCCCGCTCTGCCAAGTCGGGCGAGCGTGTTTTACCTGTCTTTGCCAAAACCTTGGGAACGAGCGCCATGCCTCCGTCGCTCCCTACCGCCCGGAAGAGCTTCTCAGAGGTGTGGTAATGCTCGTGGACGGCTTTGGCAAGGGGCCAGAAACCCTCGTGCTGCGATAGGGTGGGGAGTTTCGCGTTCCACTCCGCTTGTTCCATGGCCCGAATATGACTGGGGTAGTATGTCCGTCGGGGGGAGAGGGCGGCGATATGCGCGAGGAGCTCCCGAGACTCTTCACCAAGGGCCGGGTAGGACTTTACCGCGGCCCCCCCGAG